GTCAGGACCGGCTGAGAGAGGGGACTCTTTCCCTTGTTCATCTCTTGATGCTGCAGGGCTTTGTGGTGGTAGGAGTGGGGGTCACTTTCTTTCTGTCTCTGTCTCTCTCTCTCTCTCTCTCTCTCTCTCTCTCTCTCTCTCTCTCTCTCTCTCTCTCTCTCTCTCTCTCTCTCTTGATGCTGCAGGGCTTTGTGGTGGTAGGAGTGGGGGTCACTTTCTTTTAGATGTAGCCAATATTTCATTGATCGTTTCTGAATTTTTATTAATAATGGGAAGGTGCCTAATTCCACTCTGCAGGCGTTGTTAGTTGTTCTCCTGTGAACCTGGAGGATGCGTTTGCAAAACTCATTGTGAGCATTTTCTATTGGATGATTTTCCCATTTGTCAAATGTTTGGTTTGTTTGTGGGCCCCACACTTCGCTTCCATAGAGTAGGATGGGTTGTATTACTGATTGAAGTCATTTAAGCCAAATTAAAATGTGAATTTGTCTTTTTATTGCATAAAACGCCCTGCATGCTTTCTCTCTCAGTTCCTTGACAGCTTGATTAAAGCTTCCAGTGGGACTTATTTTCAGGCCTAAATAATTATATTCTGAGCAATGTTCTATTGTCTGTGTCCCAATTGTGAAGTCAATATTGTTTGCCTGACATCTGGATCTTTTTTGAAATATCATTGTTTTTGTCTTTTTTATGTTAATTGCCATGGCCCAGGTCGGACAGTAACCTTCGAGTATATTTAAACTCTGTTGAAGTCCTTCTTTTGTTGGGCTTAACAGGATGAAATCATCTGCATACAGCAGGAATCTGATCCCTAATAATGCGCATGTTGTTTGTGTACATAGATTTTATTAGGTCAAATAGATAGATAGATAGATCGTACTTTATTGATCCCAAATTGGGAAATTGTTTTTGTTACAGCAGCATAAAAGGCATTTTACAATAAAACAAAATATACAAGAATAGAAATAAAATAAAATAAAATATAAAATAAAATATAAAATATACATGTCAAAATACAAAATAGAAAATATACATACAGATATTATATATATATATATATATATATATATATATATACAAATATACAAATATATATATATTCAAAATATATGGAATTATGGAGTATTAAATATGAAACAGATTATGTGTGAGTAAAATGTACAAGGTGGTTTTATTTCTAGAGAAACTATGGAGCAGAGAGTTCTCTTCCAGCCAGAGGTGATTTGTTGTACAGTGTTATTGCAGTGGGCAGGAATGTTTTCCAGTATCTGTCCTTGTGGCAGGGGAGCTGCAGCAGTCTGTTGGAGAAGGAGCTCCGTTGACTGTCCAGCTGCAGGTGGAGAGGATGGGTGGGGTTATCCATGATGGACAACAGCCTGTTCAGTGTCCTCCTCTCCACCACAGCTTCAAAGGGTTCCAGCTTGATGCCGATGACTGACCCAGCTTTCCTGATCAGTTTATTGATCCTGCAGGTGTCACCGGCTCTGATGCTGCCCCCCCAGCAGACCGCAGCAAAGAAGAGTGCACTAGCCACCACAGACTGATAGAAGATCTCCAGCATCTTACTGCATACGTTGAAGGATCTCAGCTTCCTCAGAAAATAGAGTCGGCTCATCCCCTTCTTGTACACAGCGTCAGTGTTGATCCTCCAGTTCAGCCCATTGTCTAAGTGCACTCCCAGGTACTTGTAGACCTCCACAACTGCCACATCCTCTCCCAGAATGCACAGGGGCAGAGGAGGAGATGTCCTCTTCCTCCTGAAATCAATGACCATCTCTCTGGTCTTGGCCACATTCAAAAGCAGATGATTTCTTCCAGTCCACTCAACAAAATCACCCACCAGCGCTCTGTACTCCTCCTCCCGTCCATCCCTTATACACCCTACCACTGCAGAGTCATCCGAAAACTTCTGCAGGTGGCATGACTCTGAGTTGTATAGAAAGTCAGAGGTGTATAAGGTGAACAGGAAAGGAGACAGCACAGTCCCCTGTGGGGCTCCAATACTACCAACCACCACATCAGACAGCACACTGCCCAGCCGGACGTACTGTGGTCTGTCCGTGAGGTAGTTGGTAATCCAGGAGATGGTGGACGAGTTTACCCTCATAGCCTGCAGCTTGTCACTCAGTAGCCGAGGCTGGATCGTGTTGAATGCACTGGAGAAATCAAAAAAGGTGATTCTCACAGTGCAACCCGATCCATTCAGGTATGAGTGAGCACGCTGCAGCAGGTAAATAATGGCATCGTCCACCCCCAGGTGAGGCTGGTAGGCAAATTGCAGAGGGTCAAGGAATGATCTCACCTGCGGTCTGAGATGGGCCAAGACCAGTCTCTCAAGCACCTTCATCACATGAGATGTGAGTGCTACAGGGCGATAGTCATTGAGCCCAGAAGGAGTTGTCTTTTTAGGGACCGGAACAACGCATGATGTCTTCCACAGCACCGGGATGGTCTCCAAGTGCAGGCTCAGGTTGAATATATACTGGAGAACAGGAGCCAGCTGGCGTGCACAGGTCCTCAGGACCCTGGGGCTGATACCATCAGGGCCAGCAGCCTTGCCTTGGTGGAGTTTTTCCATCTGACTCTGGACCTGTCCTGTGCTCACAGTGAAGCGGGGGGGGGGGGCTTGATGGAAGGGGGGATAGAGGGGGGGGGGGTCTGAGGCAAGATGAGCAGAGGGGGGGGGGGGGGTCAGCGGCAATGTGAGCAGAGGGGGGGTGCAGAAGCCAGGCTGGGTGGTGGAGGAGAGGTGTGAAGTGTAGGTGGTGAGCAGAGGGGGGATGTTGACGCCAGGCTGAGAGGAGGAGGTGAGGTGAGAAGAGGAAGTGGAGGAGACAGCAGCGGGCGGAGAGCTAAACCTATTGAAGAAGGTGTTCAGCTCGTTGGCCCTCTCCAGGGTGCCCACAGTCAGTCTGTCTCTCCCTTTGAAGCCAGTGATAGCCTTCATCCCAGCCCAGACATCCCTGCTATTGTTCAGCTGGAGCTTAGTCTCCAGCTTCTTCCTGTACGAATCTCTGCCCCTCCTCAAATTGTCTCTCAGTTGATGCTGGACACTCTTCAGCATTGATTTGTCCCCAGACTTATAAGCTTCCTTTTTCTTATTTAAAAGTGTTTTCAGGTCACTAGTAATCCAGGGTTTATTATTGGGGAAACAGTTGACAGTTTTAGCCGGTAATATTGTTTGTTCACAGAAGTTGATGTATTCTGTGATGCAGTCAGTCATATTATTGATGTCCTCTCCATGTGGCACACAAAGCACGTCCCAGTCAGTGGTCTCGAAGCAGTCCTGTAGAGCCTCATTAGCCCCTGGAGTCCATTTCCTCACAGTCCTGGTGGATACAGGCTGCCTCTGCACCAGTGGGACATATTTAGGAGCCAAAAAGACGAGGTTGTGGTCAGATCTGCCCAGGGGGGGGAGGGCAGTGGCACAATATGCATTCTTGGTATTAGCATATAGAAGATCCAGAGTATTATTTCCCCTGGTGGGGCATTTCACATACTGAGTGAATGTAGGCAGAGATTTGTCCAGTTTTGCACGGTTAAAATCCCCAGTTATTGTTATGAATGCATTTGGGTGAAGAGTTTGGAGTTTGGCCACAGAAGAGTGAATGACGTCACCAGCCACCTCCGCGTCCGCGTTCGGTGGAATATAGACAGCAACTACGATGACAGAATAAAGTTCTCTAGGTAGATAAAATGGACGTAATCCCACAGCTAGCAGTTCAATGTCCGGGCTACAGAAACGCTCCTTCACAGTAACATGTCCAGGATTACACCATCGTTCGTTCACATACAGTGCAATCCCTCCTCCTTTCTTTTTACCGCTCAGAATAACGCCCCTGTCCGCCCGAACACTCGTGAAGCCGGGGAGAGCCGTGTTATTATCCGGGATGAGCGAGTGCAACCAAGTCTCGGTAAAACACATGATGCTACACTCACGGTATTCCCACTGCGTCTTCGTCAGCACGCGGAGCTCGTCCATCTTATTCCCCAAAGACCTCACGTTCCCCATTATGATGGCCGGTACACAGGGTTTGTACCTCATCTTCTTCTTCATCCTCAGCTTGGCCCCAGCTCTGCAGCCACGCTTGAGCCTCCGAAGCTCCTCCGGGATGTCATGCCTGGCTCCGGGCAGCAGCACGGGTCGGCACAGCGCAATCAGCTGCTCACGCGTGTAAACAATGCCATCACTCCTCTGAGCATGGCTCTCCGACACAAAAAGTGAAAAAAGTAGCAGAAGAATGACCAGAAAACGTTCGAAGTAAAACGTGGCCATAGTTCGCTGCAAGACGAACTAAATATACAAAGAAAAAAGTACAACTAAGAGAATAAAAGTAAACAAAAAGACAAAGAACAATAAAACACCGGGAGCTGCATGCAACAGGCAGCCACCAGCACGGCGCCTTACTTGAAATGTTTTACCCCCTATACCGCTTTGAAGTAGTTTGTTGAATTGTTGAATTTGTTTCTCTCTCTCTCTCTCTCAGTTTTGAGAGGTCATTAACCTCCTTGAAACCTGGGATTACAGAGTTCAACTTGTTTCAGTAAATGCTCCTTACTTTGTTGAATGTTTGGCTCTTTAGGAGGAAGTGCATCTCTGTCTCAGTCTCATCTGTCGTACAGTGACCACATATTCTGTTTTCTTTTGGTTGCCAGGATCTATTGTGTCTTCCTGTTCCCAGTCTGTGGTCACTGAGCCTGTGCTTGGTTAGGATCTGTCTCTGCTTTCTATCTCTGACAGTAGACAGATATTCTGCCAGCTCATAATCTCTGTTTAGAGCCAGGTAACATTCCAATCTACTTTGGCTTCTAGTTTTTTCTTTCCAATGTTGTAAACATTCTCTCTCAGAGCACGGTGTGTGGTTGTGTGTGTGTGTGAACTGGCAACTACTTCTCTATCCTGTATTTAGCAAGAAACCCCCTCTGTGTGCCTCTTCCTGTTTATTGTGTGCCTCTTCCTGTTTATTGTGTGCCTCTTCCTGTTTATTGAGCTCCGTACTGTTGGCGCCTTTTCATCCGAGCAAGTCGACCGAAGTCAGGGTAAGACATCTCCTTTCTCTCTGAGTTATTTGTATTACTGTTATTATTATTCGCTTTATGAATACATATGGGGCATGTAAGGACACGCACAGTAGTCGAATGTAACTGTACTGAGTATTTCTACTCTAACTATTTCAAGTTATTGGTGGAAGAAGTACTAACTTACCCAAAAAACCAACAAACAAACAAAAACGTATTATCTGAGCTCCTACTATCAAAAACAACAAGAAGGGCTTCTCACTCTTACTAAAGTGTATAGCAGGGGTCGGCAACCTTTTTGATATGAAGTGCCATTCTAAAAAAAAAATGTTATCAGCGTGCCGACGATCGTGAATTATCAACGGGGGGGGCGGGGGGGGTTGAAGAGCTCGACGAAAACACTCGTGAAAGGTGATGTTTAAAACTCAGTTAATGGGGCTCATTCACTGGCGCTTCCACAAACAACAACCAACATAATTGTTACATTCAAATGAAGTACATTATTCAAGTTTACATTAACTTTGGATAATAACACGGGAGAAATGAGCGGAAGCGCTCTCTTTTCCTCTCTCCCCCTCTCTCTCTCTCCTGACAGCCTGTCAGTATCTCATGCAGCTCACTGATCCAGTAATGAGTGACAGTGAAGAATAAATATATTTATAACTAGTTCCAAAGGTAGATCAAATAGCTAAGTGTGTTAGGTCTAACTCTTGTGTGTTTCGCTCCGCTCACCGGTCCGTCACAGCGGGTGGAGCTGCAGGATTTCTGCTTCACACACGTTGCATACCGCTATTTTATTGTCTTTTTCGGACACCTTAAAATACTGCCAGACTGGTGAAGCGATTTTGGCGAGCTTGTTTTGCCGCACACAGAGAAAAGTGTCATGTATGTTACGTCTCGCGATCGGCCTTTTTGAGTGGGGCTGCGTTGCGTGCATGGCTTCCTTCTGCAGGTAACGGGGAGACGCGCTCTGGTGCCGGTCTCGTTCAGGATCCGAAAATAAAATAAATATTTTGTACACTTATTCCACTTAATCCTAGTGTGCCACTGGTTACGGTGCCGCGTGCCATTGGTGGCACGCGTGCCAAGGGTTGCCGACCCCTGGTGTATAGGTTAAAACTTAGATTATTAACAAACAGTGTATTTACAATAGTACAGAAGTCTTATTCAAACACCGGATGAATTCAGATCATCACCCTATAGGTAGTAACAGGAGAGATAAGAGAGGGGCTAATATGCTTTTCTTTCAAAAATAACAGATGAGCCAATCAGAAGGCAACAGCTGGTCCAATCAGGAATCAGCAGCAGGGTCATAAGAAATAAATCATCCACAAATGTTCCAATAAAAAGTATTACATTTTGCCAAAGTAAAAAAGCCCAACAATTTTACCAATGTCTTTTTATGTATTCATGTGTTCTTCTTTCTATTTTAATCATCTAACTGATGTGAAAGGAGTGAATACTATGGGACCTTGTGTATGATGTTTTTTTCAGGGGGGTTTTATAGACGCTCTACACTCTTAAGTGAAGATGTCATCCAAACCGTTCCATCTATCAAAAAAAAACTTTAGTTCAATAGAGTGGAGATTCTGGAGAGCCGTTAAAACTTTGAATCTTTTATCTCCGTTAAAGTGTGGCGGATCAGTTTGACCTCAGAGCAGGATGATTTATGTTCTGAAAGGCCTGAGTTTTGTTCCCTTCCTTTCAGCTCTTGTTTGCTCAACACAGAAACCTCTCCTGTTTGTGCAGTGACTCATCTGTCTGGAAACTTCTCTGACCTGCAGTCAGTACACAATGCTTTTTTACAGCAACACTTTAATGCCTTTTTTGCAACAGTTTGTGAACTCTTTACATTATTATTTTAATTATTTCTCCTTTATATAATTTCATTAATTTCACCTTAATCATTGCACCATATTTATTTCACATTAATATTATTTATTTTGCCTTATTCATTTATTTCACCTTATTAAATATGATCTATTTCCCCTTATTTATTTTACCTTACGATTTATTCACCTTACCTTATCTATTTTATGTATTCACTTTACCTTGTTTATTTTACCTATAGGTGCATTTTTAGCAGAACTGCCCTTCGTCTCCAGAGCCGAGGTTCAGCAGCTTGAACAGGATCTGAGGTGAGGTCCAATGCACTGATGGAAAGTAACTACGGTCTATCACTTTAGATAACCATTAGGATACGATTAGGATTATCACATCCGGCTCCCAGTCGCCTGCCAGGACTCCTTTGCTCCTCATCTCCAGGGCTGACCTGAGACAGTGGATGAAAGGAGGCCCATTAGAAAGTGTTGTCTTCTTGCCTGCTCTACGCCAGAAGCCAACTTTGTCAGAGTCTGTTTGTGTCGACATCGGAATTTCCTATCTGCCAGAAATGACCGACACAGAGTTGGTAGGCCTTTAGCATTTGGGGTTCAGTGCCTACCCCCATGTGTGGAGGTTTGATAGAGTAGGCAGGACATCAGAAACTTGATCCGGTGTCTTTCCATGTTCCAGACGTCCTTCCAGGTCAGTTTCTTTCCTAGCAGACCTCCCTCTGCACTGTGTTATGCCGCTGCTTTGGGTTAGCCCTGTTCCAGCTTGTCCTGGTTGAACAACACAGGCCTAGCCTGCCAAATGCTTACGGCCTGACCATGTTGGCAAGATGCAGAACAAGGAGAAATAGAAACTAAATTATTAAATGCAATATTTAATAATATAATGCTTATAAGAGCATCACTTTCATATAACTTTAGTTATTATAGTTATTGATATTTATTTCACCTTTATATTTCATGTTGTATATTTAACCTCATTCATTGCACCTTATTTGTGAGGTCAAAAGTACTCAAATCCTTTACTCAAGAAAAAGGTACTCTTCTAAATAAGTACAAAAACATTACTAGTAAAAGTCCTGATTGATATATTTATTCATTTGTACAGTTATTTGTGTATTTATTAATTTAACAAACATCAACAGTTCCATTGTAAAAGCAATCTTTAAATTAAAAATATATAATTTAGATGAATGATCAGGACTGATTGTTTGTCCTCTGAGGACTTTCATCCATTTATCTTTTCACCTTTATCCCCCTCAACATTCACACATGTACAGTTTTTATTTGATTGCACATTTTTGATTTAAAGGTTTATGTAAACTTAAAGGTGGGGTAGGTAAGTTTGAGAAACCGGCTCGAGATACACTTTTTGTTATATTCCATGGAATGCTCTTAACATCCCGATAGCAATGAATATCTGAAGTGCTTTGACAACAAATCCATTAAAAAAAATTCATCTGTGGAAGCCGTGGTACTGTAAAAAGCACGACCAATCATTTGAGCCGGCCCGGCTAAAATAACTGGATGGCCTACCTGCCTGTCAGCCTTCCATCTGTGCACAAACTTATCTCGTGCCCTCATTGGTCATGTGCGCGTTCGTGTGTGTTGGAGGAGGGGCTCTGTAAGGAAGAGGCAGATTTTTTCCGGCTGTGTATTTTCAAATTCTAGCGCACTCTAGCCGGTTGCTCCAAAATTACCTACCCCACCTTTAACTTCTTGTTTGAAATCAGATATGACGATAGTTCTGATAAACACTCCCACTGTGCCACCCTTTATAAATGCTTGCCACATCACAGGGAGCCCTTTGAGGGATAAGGGAATGCTCTGGTTTTCGGACAAAATTAACATGGGATCACTCCCGTCACCGGACGTACTTCGTCTCACTGGAATAGTAACGGTCATAGTGAATATAAAATCGTCCCCATGTATCCGGCCAATGACGGGAGAGTTTTGAAAGAGACAAAACACTGTTCCATACATTTAAAAACACTTAAACAATTAAACAATGTTTACCCCAGGATTCAGGCATCTTCCCTGGCTTGTAAAGTGCAGTTATGCGCCTTGGAGGTATTGCACTATTTACAAAATGTATACCCAGGATTCTGGCCCCTTCCCTGGCTTGTAAAGTGCAGTTATGCGCCATGGAGGTATTCTCCAGATCCCTCTCCGCATATAATATACAGCCACCGGATAGTTAGGAAGTCATTCTGCTTACCAAAAGTAGCAACCCAGATCCCTCTCCGCATATAATATAGAGCCACCGGCTGTATATGCCAATGCACATTTACTGTGGTTGGTTTTTCATATTTCCTCGGGTTTCTAAAATAGGGGGACGCATCGGGGGTCTCGGGGAGGGTTCCATGGGTCCCATTTACTGTGGGAAGTTAAACACATTTACTCGGGTTTCAGCCACCGGCTGTCGGACTAATGACCTTCAGCACTCTGGAGAGCTACATTGTGAAATCTTGCTACTAATCCATAACTTTTGATAAAAAGCTCTGTTCGGTTCAGGCCTTTCTGTACCCCCCCATTTCCACGTATCCCGCATCCAATGGTACCATCGCCGAGTCTCTAGGACCTCGGGGAGCGGAGTTACGGCAGAGGGTCAGATTCTGAAAATACGATTTGAGAACAGGGCTCTGATCAGGGCTAAAGTCTTGTTAGAAACTGGTGAATCTGTTTAAATGCAGGCAGCAGAGTCACTGCTTTTAGCAGGGTCTCAGAGAGCCAGAGACCCAGGGTACAGCACCTCGCTGTCTTACCCAGAAAACAGGGCTCTGATCAGGGCTAAAGTAACGTTATAAACTGGTGAATCTGTTTAAATGCAGGAGACCTCCAGCAGAAGTCCCTAACAGTGGGACTCTGGTTATTTCACACCTCCAGGGCGGAGACCGGGAAAATCACCTATCTCTGCCCGCTCACAGAGCCCCCAAGGACGGACTAGAGACCTCCAGCAGAAGTCCCTAACAGTGGGACTCTGGTTATTTCACACCTCCAGGGCAGAGACCGGGAAAATCACCTATCTCTGCCCGCTCACAGAGCCCCCAAGGACGGACTAGAGACCTCCAGCAGCACTCCCTAACAGTGGGACTCTGTTTATTTCACACCTCCAGGAGAGACCAGGGGGAAATCACCTCTTTTTGCCCGCTCACAGAGCCCCAAGGACGGACTAATTACCTCCAGCTTGGCCCCCTAACAGTGGGACTCTGCACTTCCAGGAGAGACCAGGGGGAAATCACCTCTTTTTGCCCGCTCACAGAGCACCGAAAGACGGACTAGAGACCTCCAGCAGCACTCCCTAACAGTGGGACTCTGTTTATTTCACACCTCCAGGAGAGACCAGGGGGAAATCACCCCACTTTGCCCGCTCACAGAGCCCCAAGGACGGACTAATTACCTCCAGCTTGGCCCCCTAACAGTGGGACCTCCATAATCTTGCACACCCTGAGTCCCCGGGCCCCCACAGTTAAGCACTCCCCCACGGACTAAACACAGGTATTCACACCCACCAGAACCTCGTGCCCCTGGTGACCCTAAAGGGGGTGGATTTTGTGGTGCTTCTATGTCCGCCCATCAGCATCCATATTCGGCCTTCTTCACGGCACCACCACCCTTTCTGTGGAGGGTATTCTCGTGCCCCTGGTGACTCTACAAGGGGGGGTGGTTTTTATGGTGCTTCTATGTCCGCCCATCAGCATCCATATTCGGCCTTCTTCACGGCACCACCACCCCTTCTGTGGAGGGTATTCTCGTGCCCCTGGTGACCCTAAAGGGGGTGGATTTTGTGGCACTTTATCTGCCCCTGGTAACCATCAAGGTTATTGTTTTTTTTTTTTTTTTTTTATTTGAACAAAAACCACAGTACACACAGCCTAAAACATCAACTATTTACACGTTGCAGGAACAAAAACCACAGTACACACAGCCTAAAACATCAACTATTTACATGTAGCAGTACTGCTGCTATAACAGTACTACTACATTTTTTACCCTACGTTTTAAAGTGCAGTTATGCGCCCTGGAGGTGTTGCACTATTAACAAAATGTATGCCCAGGATTCTGGCACCTTCCCTGGCTTGTAAAGTGCAGTTATGCGCCCTGGAGATATTGTACTATTTACAAAATGTATACACAGGATTATAATAATAATTATATACACGGTATACATATTCACAATATTTAGCGGGATTCAGGGGACCAAATTAGGCGTCTAATTCTTACGGTGCACCAGGGCAAACAGGTTGAGTCCACGGCCCCTGCCCCATCATCAGGAGTGTCAACCAGCCCCGGTCCCGACTTCATTGGCCTCTTTCCCTCCCGCTTCCGCTTCCGCTGCTGCTGCCGCTCCAATGACCCATCAGGTGAAGACGAAGAAGCAGTACTGTTATAGCAGCCCTCTTCGGAGGTCTCCCCATCTGACAGCGGTAGACATCCTTCTGATGATGATGCAGCTGCTGCCGCATCTGATGACGCCTTGAACATGGAGCGGATTCTCAATGCCTCCTTTATTCCTGGCGCATTCATGTAGAACCGGTCCGCCGTGGTTACGTCGTGACACATAAACCTGGCGAGAATCGACCGGCTTTCTGGATCTTGGTGATGCTTGATATTGTCAGCCAGGGCAGTGCGCAGGATTGTGAAGGTGACGGCTGTTTCTAGCCCAGCATCAGCCCATGCCCTCTTCAAGTGAGCGTTCAGGTTCTTGGAGGCCCGATTCCCCCTTGTGAAAAGGAAGAATTCATTCTGAGGACCCAGCAATGCCTCTTTAATCCCCATCCACCGCATGACCCAGCTAAACTCCTCTACTGTAAGCGCCAGCTGTGCTTCGCCATATGTCTTGGCCGTCTTGTGATCCTGCACATGGATGATGTAGCCCTCAGCAGTTCCCCTTATGGCTGCCTCTAAGACCTCACTGTTTTTTATGTTTGCGTACACGCCCATACGGTGGCCATACAGGAGGCTCCAATGGAGGGTGAGATAGCCATAGAGAAGCTTCTGGGTGGTTGAGGTCGGCGTGCCGGCCATCAGGTCGAGGAGCTCCGGGATGCGCTTCTCAGCGGCCGCCATGGCGGCGAGAAGCTCCGCCTGGCTCAGCAGACGATCCAGTTTGTTCCTCTTCACCTTAAACTGATGTAGAGTGACTGCCTTATTCAAGTGTTTCATGTTGGCTTTCACCTCTCTCATTATGTGGGTCATATCAGACTGGGTGAGCCTGCACCCCCGGGGCTTTGACTCAGACATGTACCCCATGAACTGGTGCACATTCTTCAGGAAGAACTCTGATGTTGTGACTGCCCGGCCCG